TATAGTACTATATATGTATATATACATATGTAAAATGCACAACACGTATAATATATAATACATTGTAAAAGAGTAATTCTCGTGAAAAGGTATTGTCAGATTGATCGCACGTTTCCCCGTGAAAAGGGGGAAAATGATATTCGCGCTCGCGCGATTCCTCGAGCGGGAATAGAACGCGACGAAAATTGCACGTTACGTGTGCGATGCGGGATGATTCGCCCCCGGGTGCGCATAACCGGGGGAATTATCGACGAGCACGCGAAACACGCAACATGCGTGTCTGAAAAGCGGCGGGCTTGACGCGAGGCTTGCCATTAATCCCTATTAAGATCCGATGAGGGACGTGCGCGCGTTTCGCTCGCGGAGCACGAGTGGAGAACCCCTTGTACCGGCCACGTCCTGTCGGCTAACAAGGCGAAATTAGTCGTGAAATAAATCTAGTCTGTTTTAGAGAGCGCGGTATCCGCGGCAGGAGGGCGGGGGATAGAACCTATTAGCACGGTACCGCCCCTCAATCAACAGCAGTTAAGGATGACCGTGTGCCATGCTCGTCTTCCTCCGATCGTTCGAATTCACGACTCCTGCGACGGTCTCGCGCACACCTTCGGCACGTCGTCGTCGAGGAAGGGAAAATCGAGCCGGCGTGATTCACTCGTGAAACGATCGGTCGTACGTAAAAATGTGCGAGACCATTTTTTTCCCCCCCCCCCCGACAGTTTCTCGCAAGGTTTCCTTCTTCGTACGAAATATTCAAATGATCTTTTACTTACGTGTCACAATTTCGGCAGGTTTGTGTTTTCGCGAAGTATTAAAACAACTTATCGACGGGATCGAGTTTTCGCATCGAGCCCTTCCGTTTGCGAATCTATCGGAGCGATCTATTGGTCCTCGCGAGCGCGATTATTCACCGAGGATACGGCACACTGATTGTTCCCGACGTCGATTTTGAGACGGAACGTATATTACCCGAGCTACGACGATGTAACGGACGATCCGTTTCCAAGGATGCCACGGTGATCCTCCGTGAGGACCACTCAACTTTGGGAGCCTCTTGTCTCGACATTATTGAAAGTTGTCTTGAGGGTCACTAGGAATGTAGCGGGAGGACGCCCTCGGGCGTTCGAGGATAGCGGCGGGACGGAAGGAACGGGAGGAGGACAGGGCGAGTCAGATAGCGGGTGATGAAGAAGAATGGAGACGGCGAGTGGCGGAGACTCTCCCCCTAACGGTGGGATGCGGGCGCACTGTCCTAATTACAACGAGGCCTTCTATTTTTTCCTCCAGCTGAAAGGAGCCGAAGTATTTGCCCGCGGCGATGGCGCTGGCAGGTAGGACCGGGGGAGGGGGGGCAGCGGCGGAGCCTAGACGATTCCGGGCCGCTCTCATTTGGAGCGAAGTGCAAAAGGATCGCCGGCACGTCATTGACGACGAGAGAGAGAGAGAGAGAGAGCGAGCGAGAAACGATGAGCCGAAGAAGAATGGTGGTAGGGCCAACCGGAGAAGAAGAGGCGCGCCCTCCCCCCGGTGGAAAAAAAATCGCCCCACGGTTTTCACCAGCCATTCATAGCGCCGACCGATATTTTCGGTCTCTTCTCTCACGGCTCATTCATACCTCGCGAGACGCCCGGATCGACGATTCCGACGGTGCGCGCCGAACAACGGAGGCACCGACGCAGGCACTTTCTTCCTCGCAAGTGCGCTTTCTCTTTTCCCCGTAGATTTCCCGTGTCCTCCCCAGAATTCGTGGATCCCGTTGCGAAGGATTCGCCGATTACGTTCGATCGTAATAATCGGCTAACGAGACGTTAAATGGCACCGAATTACTTTGTACACGCCTGATATATTGCCGTGTGATTTTCAGATTGTACGGTAATAGCGGTTCTTGCTATTGTTTGCAGCTTTCAATCAGCACACGATCGTACTGTTACCCCATTTTTTCCCCCTTTCTTCTCGCTGTGTCCGGAAAATCCTGGTAGAAATCGAGCCTCGTAGGTGTGCAGCCGCTATACGGTAAATTATACAGTTCCGTTCTGAAGTCTTCATCTGAAATCACTCTTCGTCACGGTGGTGTGCTGTTTATTTAACGAATGTTGCGATTTTTCTTCTCTCCGCTTTTGAAAACTTATCGTCGAGAATTGTATCGGCCACCCGTCGTCAAACGCCGCGTAGGAAGATGAGCTAACGATCTTAATGGCTAGATAAAACATTGACACCTTTGCGGTGCTCGGGAGAGCCACCTGGACGAGGGTACGAAAGGGAAGGCGGACAGGGATCGTCAAACACACAGGGTCAGTACGAGAAGAGTGGAGATCCTTATGAGAAAGTAAGTTGGACGGGCGATGACAACGAGCTAACAGCGTGCGCAAACACGGCGGCTCGGGACAGAGCCGTACTCGAGCCGATCATCATGTACTTACGCGTTTCCTCTCAAACATCGACGACGACGTCGACAGCTCCAGACACGACATCGGACACTGATCATGGGAAAAGACAAATCCCGTTTGCTCAAGCCGGAATGTGCGCGTCGAATGCCCGAGTAACGCGTGCCGATCATCACATATGGAAAAGACAATCGTTTTGTGTGTGTGTGTGCGTGTGTGTGTGCGTCGCTCGAATATAAATGAATCGTGAAACTCGTGTGTGATCGGAGAGAAGGCGTCCTCGAGGCGGACCTGTGCTCGTTCGCGCGAATAAGTCAACGAGAATAAAATCAAACCGGTCGTTGACTTCGCGTCGTTATACACCTCTTCGGCAAACACCTGTATTTCATCCGCTTCTTTATTTCCCGAGCGCACGGGAAGTCACACGGAAGGCGGAAAGACGGAACGCTGCCGAGTGAAAGATCGCGAAGATGAAATTGTGAGTTTGTTCATTAAATTATTAGATGTACATATTAATTCGGTGCCTTTGCATTTAATGTCCCGTAACTCGGGTGCGGATTGAAATTTTCCATCCTGTGGTGATTTGAACATGTCAACCTTAAGCTTTAAGAAGCGCTATAATAGTCGACGGCCTTGCCGTTATGACCTCAGGAAATAGTAGTTATCACGATGTTGTTCGAAAAGAAGCATCTGAGACACCTTTTTGCACTCCAGTTGGATCAGAATGCTGCTCAGTCTATCGAAATGATTTGTTATGCTTCGGGTGAAGGTGCTGTCACCCATAAAACTTGTAAATAGACCTTTTACCGGCAATGAAACTAGACAGATGATTCTGCTGCACGATAACGCGCGGCTACATGCTACAAAAGGGACGAAGGATCTCATCTAAACATTGAGTCGGGAAATCCTCCCTCATGCGGCTCATTCGCCAGATCTAACCCCGTCGGATTACCACCCTATTTCGGTCGCTTCAACATCATCTGGCGGATACGCATTTTAAAACAGTTGACGAGTGGTCCGAAAAAGCATCGATGACTTTACTGAGTCAAAACCGCCAAGTTTTTACCGCGAGGGGACATTCATCAGCTACCCGATAGACGAAGCCATAGAAAATAACGGGAATCACTTCGAATATATAAACTTGTACTTGACTTTTAGTAGATAAACTTTGAGTTTCACGAAAAAGGGCGCCGAATTAATTTGTATCCCTAATAATTGTGTTCCTTTCTTTTGTTCTAATTTTAACCGGTAGTCTTCTGTCTTACGAGAACAAACACGTATCAAAATGTCCAGATTACATGTGCCTCCGCGATTGCCTGTTTTGCGAAAAATAAGTGACGACACATTTTGCCGCGATAACGCTGAGCGGTCTGTTAAACCGACCACGAGGATGAATATTTCCGTAAAACTGATCCTTCGGAGTAATCCGGAGGGAATGTGGAAGGAATTGGCGGGTTAAAATAATAACAGTACTCGATGTTGAGTGGTCTTTGGTTTAATATGATACAACAGAACGGACATTCTGAAGAGAGAAGCCCGTATGCATTTTACATATCCACATGTAATTTTATAGAGAAGAGAAAAAGAGAGATAGAGAGAAAGAGAGAGAGAGAGAGAGAGAGAGAGAGAGAGAGAGAGAGAGAGAGAGAGTGAGTCTATAGCTTATTACTATATTATACTATGTTATCGGATTGATTTATGTACAATGTGTATGTATACACAAAAATGATGGCTGATGTACATTTAATTTATTTCTATCGCAGGATTTACGGAACGCACCATGCTCGAAGAAAATTTTGCTTTTCGCGTTTTGTCCTGCATCTTCTCTACAGGATCCTGCAATGAATATTCATTCTTATCTCACTGATTGTATTACACCTTGTAGAACAAAACTGTATGTTTTGTATCTACTATTAATTCACCGGTAGTGAATTAATTGTCCGATTTTTGTAAATTAATAAATACTATACATAATTAATGGTATTGATTAATAAATAACACTAATTGATTACTAATAATACACCAATTAATTTTACTATTAATTTTATCGTTAGCCGAAATATTCAAGATCGTGCGTGATTTTTCACGATAATTTTTCACGGCAATTCATTTCGAATTACCTTGTGCGTTCCATAATTCTATAATCGTACAAGTTTTAACAAAAAAAGGGACACAGAGATCGATTGAAGACATATATATGAGAGACATCGTTCTTTCTTTCTTATTTTTATTGCCCTTTCCTTTGCCTCCTTTTCGTTTCGAAACGGAAGCAAACAATCTGTTGATTCGACGATAAACAATTAGTCGGCTGAAAATACTCTACGATGCATATCACAGACGCGATGATACGATAAAAAAAAAATACACTTAACGCATTGCGCGTGTGCGTATAAATAACGGTTTTTCGCGTTGAAATGATAACTGCACGCCTACGGAGGCAATTCGTACGTATGATTTGTGATAAGCTTACCGGCCGCTACCGAAGAGAGAATTAATGACGATACAACATCAGAATGCACTTTTATTTGCAGATGATCACGCACAGTGACTTTTTCCAGAGAGAGAAAGAGAGAGTAACATAATAAGTACCAACAATATTCTTCCGTTTTATCNGGGGGGGGGGGGAGGTGTGCCACGAAAATATATATATATATATTCTTCGATTTGTCGTGTTTTCCATACGACGATACAGTATAAAAATATATACTTTGTAGGTGTGTGTGTGTTATGTGTGTATATAAAAATATGTACGGCGCGATTGCAACGCAACGTCACGAATAGAATTATGACTAAACTTAGATTAAAGGACGAACAGAGGGGGGGGGAGGGGGAGGATGGATCTCGCGACGTGCCCCTTCGGCCAACAGTCTTTAACAGTCTTGCGCAGTCGTTAGATCGAAAACAACGAAAGGTCGATATGTCTAGAAAAAAAGAAAAAAAGAGAGAAAAAAAACAGGATCGTATAAAAGAATATTTATTCAAAAAAATCAGTGTCGAGTAAAACGCAATATTAGCGGCGTGTCGTTGCGTGCAGAGCAGTAGCGATCAGGATTGCGAAATTTATGAGCCTCGTAAAGTTTCTAGTTAGTATCGAGTCTTCATGTTCTGCGTGGGCGCAGCGGCGCGCGACGGACGCGCGTTCCGACCCAGTGATATATTGTAGTAATAATATTATATTAATACTTTCAACTACGTGAAAGAGAAAAAGAGAGAAGGAAAGAGAGAGTGTGAGAGAGAGAGAGAGAGAGAGATATGTCCTTCCGTACGCTAGGCACTTTTAAGCTCAACTAGAAACTTTAAATACAATTAATCGGACGTGTGTAAAACCTTTATAAAAATAAAATAAATAATCTGAATAAATATAAATATATACTAATATTACGGAGTCAATAAATTATTATGTAGGATTATGGGATGAGGGGTGGGGGGGAGTGTGTGAATTGTTCCGCGTAGAGATACCTCTTCAGAGCGAGATGTCGTTCGCGACATTCTCCATGTGTGTGCGTGTGTACGTGTATATATGTGAGTATGAGTGCGCACAGCATGCGCGCACGTATATGCGCGATTTTCTCGATCTTTCGTAAATCACGTGAGTGGCCCGGATTACGGCGTGAATACTGCGTTTGATTAGGAACCCAACCGACGCTACGATTGACTTCTTTCCTCTCTATCGCTAACTACTACTCGTCCACTCTTCAACTCATAATTACAATATTCTACCTCACGCACTTGGCACACAAGAAAGAACAAACAAAAAGAAATACGCAATGTTGGATATTACGAGTTTTGCGACCAAGTGTTCGGAAACATTGCCGCATTGAGTGCAACGTATCGCCCGGGAGCGAGACCGCGTCGGACGATTCGACTCGGGTGATTTTCCGCGACGCGCGACGAAGACGAAGAAACTGACGGTCGTCGTTTTATCGAAGGTAATGTCTACCGTGGATTTCAGCGGCGCGAGCGAAATGTCACGTGTGAAAGTGAAGTCGTGAGATCGATAATAATATCGGACACCCGCTGAAGTTCGGACGCTGTTCTCGGCAAGAGCGCTTCTCGCCCGTAATTGCCGTTTCCAACGCGATCGCCTCGATCTTACACAGGCCCTTCCTTGCGTACAATGCTCATTGCGATCGGCTTACTCGTACAAAGAGGTATCGCTAAGAAGCCTCGTGCCGCTCCGGTGGAAAGAGCACGTCGAACCGCGATCGAAGGACCCGCCGAGAGCGGGGCGTATCGAGAACAACGGCCGTCGCGTTCCCGGGGTGTAAATAACGCGATGTCCCCGCGTCTTTATTTTTTCGTTCGGAAAACTCGAGCGCGCTGCTGAACCTGTTGCTTTCGTCTTCGCGCGATATCGAGATTCGTCAAGCATGCTCGCAGTTACGGTTATGGCGCATCGTCGCACCGAAGCCATGCTATATGCTACTTGTGTGTGTGTGTGTGTGGGCATGATAGTCAGCGTTGGACATTAAACGTGATTGCAGTTTCAGTCGAGTTAAATCATCCGTTAGTCACAATAATCGAAATTAATCGATTTTCATATATGTGTATTATATACATGTATATGTATATTTACTCACGATTGATGATATATATATATATCAATTACTAGTCATTGTAGAATCAATCGAATTGAAGCAATCGATCGTGACACTCAATTGTTATGCATAGTCACGACATATTAATATAATAATATAACAATCATCAATGAAGTTAATTGATTGGATCGAATAAGTCGTGACTGTGTATAACAATGAAGCCGTTAATCGATGGAATTAGCCAGAATTGCATACACGATACGATGATTTCGATTATCGACTGGCGGATTGTTTCGGCCGACTAAAATGTTCATCGATTAATGCCCGATGCTGATGCTAGTCTACGTATATAAATAAACGCAAGTTGTAGGCGAAAGCGAGTGGGTTAATAACGACGCGAGTTTGTTTACCCTTAATTGTTGACGTTCTATCGGAGAGTGTCGAAGGAGGACGGTGGATGATGAGAGACTCGACAATGGCCGCCGTGTGACCTCTGTCGCGGAGTTATCACCGGTGGTGGCTTGACAAGGGCGAACGCGACGACGCGTTGTGTGCATCCGTCATTTTCCACGACGATTCGACGGATCATCGTCGCCGTCGTCGTCGGTGCCAATCACGAATCGCTCGGCCTCCTTGCCACGGGCATGACTTGTGAAAATCGTCCATCCGACGAGAAAAAATATAATCGGAAGGATCCTCTTTCGCATTTTGCCACCCTCCTCCTTCAACCATCTCAAGTCAGCAGGACGTGGGGGAGTTGCGGTTGTGCCGCTGTCCTAAAATGGGTGAGTCGTCGCCTGGTAACCCTTCTTCTACTTTCGCCTTGGAATCCTCAGGTGTACGCTTTATTTCTCAAATACATAAAAACTTGTTGTATGTATTCCAGAAAGTTCACGTAATCCCGGTAGATGATGAACGCTCGCAGTTTCTGTTCGGTCTCCGAGGATAGGGAGCGTTGCTCGTGCGGCATAATAGATCGCGAGACGTCTTTCGGCAGTGGTGTGCCGCGCTCTACTAAACCGACTTGCACCTCGCAGAGGATCTGGAAAAGAAACACGTCGGCACGTCAGAGAGAGAGAGAGAGAGAGAGAGAGGAAAATTCGGAGTATATTCGGACGAGACGCGCAACGAGAGCTCTCACGCTGAGAAAAATGCTACTGAAGTAATTAAAATTAATAATTAAAATTAGAATAATAATAAAATAATAAAAATCGTAATAATAAAAATTACAGTCACTTTCGGCCTCAACTATATCGCCTTCTAGTTTTAACCCGAAAAATAATAGTAGTAATAAGTTATTCTGCGTTACTTTCCGTCGCATTACGGATTTCTTAAATAGAATTATTAATCTCCGAATTCCTCTCTTGTCGCGCGTAATGAATGTCGGCGAGCATGAAGTGAAGAATCGACGCAAATGTCGTTCGCTTTCCGTGAAGATCTTTCAGGATCTGCTAGCGAAGTCGGCGATGCATATCGAGGGTAAATAAGAAAACAGAAAAACACAGGAAACTCCGATAGGGATTTGAGCACGCCGAAAGCTATTCGTCGGAATGGCCGATAAAATGGTAGTTTTGTCTTTCAGCGACGATCTCCAACGTCTCTCTGCCTTTACGTTAAACGCTCGTAAAACTTGGCAAAACGCTTTTTATCGCGCTTACAACAACGGAAGGCGAAATAATTCAGGTCAATTGTGCGCGGTTTGCCGGTTTGCTATTGTGAAAGTCGCGCAGCGTTTCTTATTTTTCTATTTTTTTAAATTTATTTACCACGCTGCGAAAGATCGACGACTCGAAAATTGTGGTTTGGTGTCATTAGAACCAGGAACAATGAAGCGAAAAGTAGAGATACGTAGATAGATAGAGAGAGATAGATAGAGAGTGAGAGAGAGAGAGAGAGAGAACGGATTTGATCTGGAAAATGAACTAACCGATCGAAGTTGGTCCTCCACGTCCTCGAAATGCTTGCTGAAGGGGCCCCCCGTATCTCGTTGCTCCCAGACTATTTGCTCGATGCCTACTGCGAATTTTTGCAGGTACTCGTAAGTGTTTTGAAGGGTAGCGTCAATCTAAAAACGGAACAGGCGCGTTTGTCAATCGATTACAAGTAGCATGTACGATTACTTTATACACAGGAGCGTGCACGGAAAACAAAATCTCAGTGCCCGCAACTGAACAAGCGGCGTGTTCGCATTAAACTGGATGAAAACTCGGTCGAAACAACCGAGAGCCAATTTCGTATATCTTTCTTTTCCCGGCTACCCCATTCAATACGATTACTGTTATAGCATCGCAACCGTCCTTACTGACGGCGCGTTGCGCGGAGAAACGATGCGACGCGAAATAATGTAAGCGGTACGTACGGTCAGCGTTTCGAGATACGCCTCGTCTAGCTTCTCCCCCAGCACCTTGGGTATTTCTTTCGGCCCAGGTAGCCAATCGTAGCGGATGTCATCCCAGGTCGGATTGAACCTCCGGTCGGTGTTGCCGCTCAAGAGGATCTGCTGCAGCTGTAAGATCGAGGAGGGCAAACGTGGGCGCGATTAGATACGTCGGTTCGCTCGAAAAAGGGGCCGCGAAGGCGGCGTCGAAGAAAGACGCGCGGCGCTATCGGGTTTCCGCGTCGTCGTCCGCCCAGCGTGTGCTTAACCCCGCGGAAATTTGAGAAAAATTATCGTGCGTGGGTGTCGCGTTATCGCTGCGCCCTTTCGCGTATCTCTCACACTCGTTGCGCGCCGGAACGGATCCGAGGTATATATATATATATATATATATATAAAGTAATACTACGTGACGCGCATACGCGCGTCCTCGTTATCCCGAAGAGTACGGCGCGATTGCCGAAAAAGGAAAAAAGGAAAATGAAAAAATAGAGAAAAAACTGATCGTTCGTTCGAGACTAATGAACGCATCGCTTCCACAATCGCCTCACTTCCTTCCTCTTTCTTTCCTTCCGTCGCATGTCTACTGTTCTATTCTCGGCCTGAAACTTCCGAAAGCGGAAACACGCGGTCTACCGAGCGCACGATATACACGTTGCGTCATGCGCGCGTTACCGCTACAATTAGAATCACTTATGCGATTTTCGACCTTATTACATCTGGATACGTATATGCGTAAGGTTGAAAATCGCGTAACTCTCGATTCAGAGAATAGTACGGCATAGATGACTGCGTGCAAAACGATCTCGATCGTCTGCTCTCGTCGCTAAATTGCATTGTCAGTTTGCGAAAAGAAGCGGAAAAGCAGCGTGCTCGCGTTTCCAGGTAGCTGCTTGGATTGCGCCAGCGTTAATTTCTCGCGTTAGCGCGCGAGGTCGGTGCGACGACTCGCTGGATGCCGGCTCAGTTTAGTCACCGATTACACGTAGTGCAACATCTCTCGTACGCGATCAGTCTCCCGATATCCCTCGTTCCTGGTACGCCGGCCGTGCGACCGTGCGAATCGCGATTCGAATGAGTAACGCTCACACGGTCTCGCGATGCGCGCGAGTGGCGCGTGGCTCGGCGGCCGCACGCTGACTTTTCGGGAATACCGGGATGGGTCAGCTAACAAAAGTCGGATTAGTCCTTTACCCGGAAACTACTCGGAAACACGGCCGTCGCACGAGACACGCTAATTGTCCCATTAGGAATCGCTCATATCGAACGAGTCATTATGAATCATCCGCCGGAACGAAAGAGGTGTGAAGGAAATAGGAAGCGGGAGAAGCGCGTGCCCGGGTCGAAAGTTTAGCCACGCGTTGATCCCGCAGGTTCCTGCGAGCCTGAAGGATCAATGGAGAGAGACACAGTGTTGTACGAAAACTATTGTCTTACCCGTGACGCGTCAAATGGTTATTCACTGCCGTCCGCTCCGTGTTGATTCTTACAAAGGACTTGTTTCAGAATTATTTCATACTCGATATTATTCCAATATTCTGTCTGCACGTGAAATATTGATTTTTAACTTCAATGAGCGGTGTGTTTCAATTAATTAGTAATTATGTAACTGACTTAATTGTGTGAGACTAACAAACATTGAATGCGAATAAATGATGGAATTAATGGATTAATAACGAAATAAACTTCCTTTATTCATAATGCTGTCATCTTTGTCATGTCGACGTTAGAAATTTTGATTTGACTAAAAGATTCACAAAGGACGAAGATAGAAACATTGGGCGTCTAATGAAGCCCCTCACCGACGAAGAATTAATATAATTTATATATTGGCTACAATAACAATAAACTTTGAACAAAAGGAGAAAAAAGTATATGCCAACGAAATAACACACTCAAAATGCACTATTAGACGCACGAATTATCATTTGTGAAATTTGCACTTCTAAAATTTCTACTTTGGACGGTTGGCTTCCACTGGAGTTCTACGGGACGGTTGACGTAATATATCGACTCTGTTACTTCTCGTATCTCATTACAACATCGTGACACCTAACGTGATTTCGCATAGGCGATCATCTCGGTGCATTTGTTCGACTTTAAACGGAGTTAAAGCTTCACCGACGAAACACTATTTTTCTCGCAAGCTTTGCGTAGTTGCGCAGAATTATAAAAGCTCTTGCACAATGAAATTCATGATTTGAAGTATTATATATTAGTCCGATATATGGCAAAAAAGATGAAAAAAGTTTGAAAACTGTCTGAAAATAGAATAATGTAGGGAAAAATGTTTTGTTCAATTTGCCGGGCAATGAACAAACCGAAGGCGTTTCGGTTGAAGGAAGGTTTCTTAACTATGCGGCAAATTCAACCAAACTTTCTCTTCCAAGTTAATGTGGATATTAACTTGGTGATATTAGCTTCGTCGGTTAATGTGGATATCAGCTTGGTGAAGCTTGTACGTACCGTTAGATAGATCTTGGAATACTTTTGATAAGCTGGATAAGACATTTCGCAACAAGACACTTGGTAACAAGAAACATTAGCTAAAGCCTAAAAAAGATAAACAAAAAATTTACAGAGAAAGATAGCTGCATAAGCGATATGTACCATGCATGCGTGCGTGTATGCGTGCTGAATTTTTGCTGTAGCGTTCTCGCGTTTACGCCTCGCGACGTATCGACGTCTCGCGAGTTTCCGATGACAGTTCGCCGAATCATCGGATCCTCACCAGCGCGAGAGAGGCCGGAGATACTCGTGATATATCGCGAGCAACAACGGTATACGAATCATCGATCCAAGAGAATTTCAATCGACGATTAACTTGTTTTTTAATTAATAATCTGCATTAATTAACATGCTATAATTAACAATCTGTATAGTTAAGAATCTGTATTGACACGGGTTCACAATCCAACATACGAATTCTCCTGCGTGATCCTTTACGGAGTGCATGGAAATTTTGCTCCAAATCTCAAGCTTTAAGCCTTCGAACCTTAAATCTCAGACGCCGCGAAATCTAAGCTTCAAGCTTTATTACAGCTTCTGGCAGCGCGGTAAACACCAGAAATTGCACTACAGTTCGTGGCTTCAAGTGAACTAGACTTATTACATTGTAAATCGAGCCTTGACGTCACCAATAGCGCATCTCGAATCAAATGTTCGCGTCATATATAGACGCATTATATGCATCTTCGTCATTTCACGTGCATCTTCGATTTCAAAGTAACATACCGCACCGAGAGAAAAATATCCAAAGAATAGAAAGACCTGTACTCGTTAGATATTGATAATAAATTCAGATTTAAGAAAATGCAAATTTCAGAAAATACATTTTCTCATTTGATGAAGACTCTATCTCGCTGTAAAAATATGTACATCGGTAGGACATTACATTAATTATGTCGAATAATTACGTTACACTATAGCAGCCATCGAATGAATATTCTTCCACTTTCTACATATTTCCTCTCGGTGTACAGTGTCTGAAAATTCATCACGTCGTTTCCCGCTATTTCTCGGTTTCGACCGTGTAGTCCGTCCGTCGAGCTCGCCGTCGAGCTCGCGAACGCGTGTCAAAATTGCGCGTGGACGATTGTACGCGCGAGATCCATTCTCTCCCTGAGAAAAACCGATGCTGCGACAAACTTCGAAGGCGCGACCGTGTCGTGATTCGTGGCTATCGCGAGAGAGGCTAGTCCGGGAGGAAGGCGGCAGCGCGGTGGTCATTCATTAAATTCATTCCCTCGTTATGGCATGTTCGATCTCTCGGTGGGTACCTGCGGCCACTCGCGATCGGCCCTTCTCACGCCCCGGTCGTTACGAAAGTCCCCGCCGGCATACAAAGATATCTTTCCGGCACCCATCACTTTGTATCGGGAAATATTAAATACGCGCGTACGGCTCGGGGGGCCGACGATGATTGCGTCATCGGCCGTTATTACTAATAACCACCGAACAACGATATCCACCGCGAAGCTTCGCGGACGTATCGCCGCGTCAGGCCCGATGGGGCCGATTAAATCGAATTTTACGATAATTTCGTGCGAGCGCGCGCTTTCGGAATAAATACGTTAGCGGGGATTTACGCGGCGGGTTCCGCCGAGTACGCCTTTCCTCTTTTCGGCTGCCGAAGAGAACTTTCATCGTCGCGTTTTACGACATGTCGCTTACATTCGTTCGCGGTGGCTCTCATTCCGCCATGAGAACCGATCGGCCGTCCGATTGGGCGCGTCGTGTCGCGCGGAGAGCTCGAGAACGACAGTCGGTACTCGGAGGCACCGCTTGGATTTTCCTCGCGCTTTTTCGCCGCGAAATACCGCGAGAGAACGAGAGAGAGAGAGAGAGAGAGGTCGGCTGCGAGACAAAGAAGGCGAGGCGAACGGAGGGTAGGGTGGAGTTATAAGCGCGGGAACAAAAAAGGGCGGAATGAAAGAAATTGTTGTCGCTAATAACCACTGGTGGCGGACAAATCTATGGCCTGGGTCTTTTGTGCCTCGTAAAAGTCTCGTCGGCCACAGTGGGGCACGAATAATCGTAAAACCGAGCTGGTGGAAGCCGGCAGGAAGTAGGCTGGCGAGAGTAGGTACGGCTTGCGCGCGCGGCGCTGCCTGCCTGCCGAGGATCCGTCAAAATCAATTAGTCCTTCAGTCCTTTTTCTAGCGCGGCCTCGCCGGCTGCACCGCTTATTAGAAGTTATAAAATTTCGGTGTGACGGCCTCGAGAGCCGATCGGAGTCGCTCGCGCGAGGTGTTGCCCCGCCGAGGCGGATAAATGAGGCGGCCGAGGACGGGGGAATAAAGTCTCTTGATTTAGACAGAATCCTAGGGATTGTTTCGGAATTCCGTCCGACGATAGCCGACGGCAAGCCCGAGCCGAAAGTTTCGACTCGAAATGTTCAGCTTTTAATTGTACAATAAATTAGGAGCTGAGATGGCAATACTGATTCAATTCTAATGATATAATTTACTCTCACTTTCACCATGACGATACACTGGAAGAAAAATATTTAGTACTTGTAACCGTATTATAGTGAACAAATTATAGTTAGGAGAAGCACTTTTCTAATAAGCGTTGTTTTAGTATCGGTGATAACTTTACATATATACTACTGCTATTTCGGTACGTAA